AGGCAGGGATGAGTGTCCGTGAATGGGCGATGGACAGAGGGCGAGAGGGGGAGAGACGAAGAAAGGTGTATTTGGACATTTGGCAGAGGCCGAAAGTGAGAACACCGGGCGGGGGGCGGCGATCTGGGATCGCGCGCGCGAGCGCGCGCATCGGCGGGGTAATCCAGGCAATGTCAAGACCATTACGAATGGCCCTGCCTGTCCCCAGCCTCTGCTGGGTGGAGACATCGGCGCCCTAGACTGGGGGGGGGGGCCTCGTTCTCGGGACCGGAGCCGCGGCGGCCGTGGTGGCCACGGCGAGAACGACAAGAGCAGCGACGGCGGCGGCGGCGGCAGCGGTCGTTCCCTGTTTCCGTCACAGGGAGTTGGGATGATTTGGGTTTTCCCCAGGGGTGGCGGCGGGGCCGCCCGCGCCCGGTGATCCCCCCCCCCCTCCCCGCCCCGCGGCGGCGGCGGCGGCGGCCAGAGGGCGACGTCGGCCACGGGGGCAGCCGGGGTAATACGGGCGCCCCGATGGCAGCCATGGGGACTAGACAAGGCGCGGCTGGGGGATGCCCGGCCAGGCGGGCCGCCCCCCGCCGCAGCCCGGGGCCGAGGAGCAAGGCCGAGGGGATTAAGATCGTCCCGCGCGAGCGGCCGGTTCCTGGGACCGGGGGGCAGGGGCGGGGGCGAACGCGCCGGGAGACCAGGCACTTGCGCGTGCGCGCGCTCACACACCCGCACCCACTCGCTAGTGCGGCTGCCTCGGCCCGAGGGGAGGGCCCCTTCACGGGCAGGCGCGTGCAGGCGCGTGAACACAGGAACCACCAACTCGGCCGGCGGGGACCAACAAACAGCCACAGGCGTCAGAGAGGAGGCTCGAGGGCCAGGGGGTGGGCCCGGGAAGAGCCGGGAGGGGGGGGGGGAGGCTCTACACCCGAGTGCGCGGGCCAGCTGGACGACTGCCAGTGTACCCCGCGGACAGAGGGGGCCCTGGGGGAGGCGTGCCGGGTCCGGCGACCGGGGGGCCGCAAGCTGCCGGAGGGCCACAAAGCAGGAGAGGAACGCCCAAGGCGCATGCGCACATACGCGCACGCGCGCGCGCGTCTTCGTAGTCCGTGCGGGTGTCGGCTACGACCCGCCTGCGCCCCTCGGCCGCCCGAAACGCCGCCGGTCGGCGGGGTCGGCGCGCGTGCCACGCGGCTCTTGGGCGGAAGACATCCGCCTCCACCCCCCCCCCCCCCCC